CGGCAACTGATCTGCCTCGCCTGGGAAGAGCGCAATGATGGTGCCAACTTGGGCCAGTGAAGCAGCGTCCTCCACAACTAGATTGAAGAACAAAAACGACAGCAACTTGTCTGTTCCCCTTCCCCTAATTCCCCAGCACTGTTCCCATCCCCCCAATTATCCAATAAAAATCTTTTAAAAAAAAACAAAACAAAACAAAAAAAAACACTTACAAACTTTTTTCTACAGGTTTGGACGTTCTTATGTCGACAGTAATGACTGTTTTCACAGCAGAGCATTTCCACAGAGGAGCTCCAGTTGGGTGTGGGGTGAGGGACAGGGGCCATATTTGCAGTTCCCCAAAACCCCAGATCTGGGAGCCAGGCCTGACACCTAGTTAAGTGAGCAGGCACCAGAATGATTAAGTCTATGTGACTGTCAGCTCCAAACAGTTTTCAGAGCAGTATCCTGTGCTGGCAGGGCAGGACCCCCCACCACCCAGAGAAACCCAGGACTCACGACAGGGGCATTTCTGAAGCCCTTGATGGCCTGGAAGACTCCACCACCGATGACACCCATAGTGAAGGCTCCACCGCAATCATCGACAATTCGCCATGGGCTGCAAGTGTGAAGGGGAGGATGGGGTTAATGTGAGCCCTCCTATGCTATGTCATATGTATTCTTTCAACTGGGAGAAACCAAATCCCCCGAATGGGAAGTAACACTTCAGATAATAGATTCATTTCCCCCTCATTTAAGCAAGAAATAGTGCAAAGAGGGAAAAATTAGTCTTTGCCCTCTCCGCCCCTTCTCTTTGCAGCCAACCAAATAATCGGCCAACCACTGTACTATCAAAGATTAAATGAATTGATATACACGCAGAGTTGGCACTTTATAATAATCCCTACGGAAGTGTGAACTAGCTGGTGTTATTAAAGCAGGACGGGTCCGCATACCCCTTCTCCGACAACTACCACGTCGAAGCAAGCCCCGCCCTCTTCCCTCTTTCAACCACGCGCAACTGGGGAAAACCAAAAGCAGAGTGACCCAGCACCTCCTCCTTGCTCACAATAGGCTCATCCAGGCACCGCCCCCACTCACTAAAGCGACCTGGGAAAAACCACGCGTGGTAGCTCTGGGATTTCCGCTCAAAAGCGCATCACCCCCCCCCCCCCGGCGGAAATGGATTCGACCAGTGTGTCTCATTTCGTTAACAAAGAGGGGCTAGGAGATACGGACACGGGGAACGTGGAGTGGTTCTCCAGACACACGGTTGAGGTCCCTCTTAACGGAGCCCAAGTGGAAGGGACCAAGTGGAGGGGAGGAGACAACTAAACGTCTCCCGATTCTGGGCCGTGGCGCTCTGGGGCCGGGCCTCCCCCACCCGCCTCCCACAGCTGGCCGTGATGCCGCAGCGACAGTCCCGAGGCCTGTGCCCATCGCCGTACCAGGGCTCCCGAGCGTACTCCTCCATGGCGCCGGCGTCCGGCTCGTGCAATCGGCCTAAACCCAGGCTAGGCCACGCCCACACTGTAAACGCACACAGGAGTCGAGCGTTCCACCTATCCCAGGACCACGATTGGGTTGCTGCGCCGTAGGTCAGGCCAACAGCGCACTCTCATTGGCTACCCAGGTTGCGTCATCGGTTCGCCGCAGCGTACGCTCCCAGTTAGTTCAAGTCTCAGGGAGAGAGTAGATGTTTCTGTGCTTTGAGAGAAGAGAATCGTGAGGTCCTGGTGATCCTAGCGGTGACGACAGCGAGGCGGCCAGTCTGACAGACTTCTACTACCCGCGTGACTATATTGGTAACGTCCCGGAGCATACATTTTTTGGAGCTGGACGAGGTGCTCCACTCTGCACCCCCATCCCAGCGCTTTGGTTCCACCCACCCAGCAGTCTTTGGGGGATGTTGGGTGAACCCATTTCTTGGGCACGGGGGAGCCGCTTTCGGCTCCTTTGGCTGTGGGCGGAGCCTGGGCCTGAGAGAGAAACTGGGTTGTGGAGCGTCCGGCCTGATAGGAGGGTTGGTGAGGGTTTTGGTGATTTTTCTACCTATCTCTTCCACCTTTTAGCGCAGCTTCCATCTGCCCAGCTACTGATGCAGGCGGGGTGGGGGGAGGGGGTCCAGATGCGTACACGCTGCGGGGCGGTGCTTGGTTATAGGATCCAGATTCGAATTTTCATCTGAGGTGTTTTTATCTTCTTTCCGTCTCTAGGTCTGTTTGCTACTCGCTATGCCGCTTCCCGTTGCGCTGCAGACCCGCTTGGCCAAGAGAGGCATCCTCAAACATCTGGAGCCCGGTGAGGGAGCTAAGGAGCAGATGGGGCTACTATGCGTGCCAGGACTGACAGACACTTTGACGTTGATACTGCCACTTGATACCCAGCATGGGCCCACTGTACACCAAACAGTGGAATGGGGAGAGGGGACGCGGGGGAGATAGACATCTCATCCTTAATATTGACAAGTAGGCCCCAAATACCTATTTGGGCCTACTGTATGCCAGGTTAAATCCATCCCTCAATCCATGGAAGTGATTAAAAGTGTCCAATAGTAAGGATAGCTGTCATCTACTACAGTCTCCTGTGCACCGAGGACAGTGGCAGGATGCTGATAACTTTCTTTATCATACTGATAGATAACATTTTTTATACCTACTATAGTACCAGGCACTATGCTGGTGATATATACTTTATTGTTCACCATATCAATAGCTGACATGTATTTTGGGTGTACTAACAGCCAGGCATACACATTATGGTGAACAGTATAAAATAATGATAGGATTTATCACTTAGACCTATTTGCTGCTGCTGCTGCTGCTATTTATACCATATTGTCAATAATAGTAAAAGCTGGCATCTATTTTGGGCTATAGTGTGCCAGGCACAGGAAAATACATCTTACTTCCACCTTAACGTTAAGTGACATTTATTATAAGCCTAATGAGTGCTGGCCAGAGAGCTTGTGGTTAATATTACTAATAATGATTATTGATATTTAAGCCTATTGGGTTCTAGGTCCTGTGCTGATGTTATTCATCTTATTAATAATACCGATGATTATAGCTGACCTCTCTTTGGGACCTACAGTATGACAGGTACTATGCTGTTGCTGACATACATTTCATTATTAGTTATATCCACAGCTGAAATTCGTGATAGGCCTACTGAGGGCCAGGTACTGAGCTGACAGTATACACCTTTTTTATTCTACTGATATTAACCGACAGCTATATACATCAGGCCTCAGGAACTGAATGGATTCAGAGCAGTAGTTGGATAAATCCTTTGCTATCCAAATTCTTGTTACTGAAAATACAGGAGTCAGAAACCCCATATTTCCCAAGCTTGGGAGCTTTTGGACGTATTTTCAGATAAATGCCTTGCTGTTCAAACTTGTTTTATCCAAATAGATTTGGATAGTGTGCTGTTACATACTCCCTGAACTCAGGAACTGAATGACTATGGATACATGTTTTGAAGAATCCCTAGCTAAACTCTTAAACGAGATAGGGTTGGGTAATAGCATATCTTCTTTTTTTTTTTTTTAAGATTTTATTGGGGCATTGGGGGAGGGGGAACAGACAAGTTGCTGCCCTTTTGTTCTTCAGTCTAGTTGTGGAGGACGTTGCCTAACTGGTCCAAGCTGGAACCATCATTGCGTTCTTCCCGGGCGAGGCAGATCAGTCGCCGGCTTCTGGATGGCCGCTCACAGCGGCTGCTGGCCGCTCACGCTGCCTGCTGGCTACACACGGTAGCCCATGGCAACCCACTACAGCAGGGGCTGCAGCCTACGCTGTTGCTGGCAACCCATGGCAGCCCAGCTCCAGGTCGAGCCCCTGTTCAGCATCTTAGCTGTAGAGGGCAGTGTCACTGGCCCCCATATGTGGGATCCAAACTGGGGCCCTCTGGCGTCCCAAGCCAGCTCTTAACCAACGCGCCACTCGGCCGGCCCCGTAATACCATATCTTTTTTTTTTTTTTTAAAGCAGTTGGAGGGCTTCTTAGCCGCCCCATTATTTTATTTATTTTATTTTATTATTTTTTTTTTCGTAATACCATATCTTAAATGAAGCCAGGAACAGGACAGATTTAGGTGCACGTTAAGTCCACCGTTCAGATGCTTGGATTTGGAATGTGAGTGATATGTGTCATGGCTGGTGAGATCTGGCATACACATGCATATCTGTGTGAATGTGTGCATCTGTCCAGATCACAACTGTAGGATGAGAATCCCTGATCCTTATTGCTCTCCTCCTGTCCTGGCAGAACCGGAGGAAGAGATCATTGCCGAGGACTATGACGATGATCCCGTGGATTATGAGGCCACCCGTTTGGAGGGCCTGCCACCAAGCTGGTATAAGGTGTTCGACCCTTCCTGGTGAGCTGGGGACCTGCGGGAGAGGAGAAACTAACTTCTGACTTCACTCTTCCTGTGCTGTCTCTGACACTGGGGTAAATGGGGGGACACACAGGGGAAGATATCTGGGGGTCCTCCCTGGGGGGTCCTGACAAGGGTCAGGTATAGACAGAGATTGGGGAGCAGGAGTTGAGGTACAAGGAGAGGATATCTTGTGCTGACACTCCTTCCCTCCTCACTGCCAAGCAGCGGGCTCCCTTACTACTGGAATGTGGACACAGATCTCGTGTCCTGGCTCTCCCCACATGATCCCAACTCCGTTGTTACCAAATCTTCCAAGAAGCTCAGGAGCAGTAATGCAGGTGAGTTCGCAGGTCCAAGGGTACCTCAAGTGCTTCTAGCAGTTCTCAGAGAGGGCTCAGTAAATGCTCGTGGATCCAGGAGGGGCAGGTGAGACAGGCAGGCCCAGACTCGAGCAACAGAAGCTGTCAAAAGCAGAAGCTACTGGGTCCTGAATTGGGAGGGGGAAGGTCACTTCAAGGTTTTTATGTCCCCAGATGCTGAGGAGAAGTTGGACCGGAGCCACGAGAAATTGGATCGGAACCATGAGAAATTGGACCGGAGCCATGAGAAGTCAGACCGGGGTCACGAGAAGTCTGACCGAGACCGAGAGCGTGGCTATGACAAGGTGGACAGAGAGAGAGAGCGGGACAGGGATCGGGACCGGGACCGTGGATATGACAAGGTGGACCGAGAAGAAGGCAAAGACCGGCGCCACCATCGCCGGGAAGAGCTGGCTCCCTACCCCAAGAGCAAGAAGGGTAAGCTGAGCAGGGCCAGTACTGGGGTGAGGCAGCAAAGCCCAGGGGGTGCATGGCATACAGTAGCCCTCACTTCCTTTTATGCAAATGCCTGAACCTCGGTCGGGCCTGGCAGAAGGCGCTGCAGCCATGGAAGCCATGGGCTCCATTTCTTCCTGGGATGGGGGAAGCTCGGTGGTCAGGGGCTCGATGTGCCTCCATTGAAGACCTTGTTCTGCCACCTCCTTCCACAGTTGCAAGCCGGAAGGATGACGAATTAGATCCCATGGACCCCAGCTCATACTCGGATGCACCCCGGTAAGTGACCCACCCCCTCGCAGGCCAGGCCCTTTTCTTTCCTCGACTCACTACACCAGTGACGGTTCCTTTCTTCCTACTCCTTCCCCCACTTGTCAGTTGTTTGCTGGGGGGGTACCTACCACATCCCACATTCCCACCCCCTGACCCTCTGTCATCCCCAGGGGCACATGGTCAACAGGACTCCCCAAGCGGAATGAGGCCAAGACGGGTGCAGACACGACAGCTGCTGGGCCCCTCTTCCAGCAGCGCCCCTACCCATCCCCAGGGGCTGTGCTCCGGGCCAATGCTGAGGCCTCCCGAACCAAGCAGCAAGACTGAATCCTCGTGGGTTTCTAATAAAAGATTTTCATGGATCACGAACGAGGCCAGAGTGCTTCCTTCTTTCATACTTTTGAGGCTTCCCAACCCAAGGCGGCAAGATGCAAAACACATTTTATTTGCAAAAACTCACCTAAGAAATACTGTGGGGGCGGCAGGGACATGGGGGCTAAAGGGGCTGGAGGCCGAGGTGGGTCCCTGTTGGGGCCCTCCTTACCAGAGAGTTTAGTCACGTCAGCCCTGTGTGGGGGGGTGGGGACAGGTGGGTCGGTGTCTGCCTCCCCCCACCCCTAATACTGATCAGAGAGTTTGGTCCTGTCTGGGCCAGGGCAAGAAGGGAGAACGAGGCCAGGCCAGCGTCTTCAATCCCAGCGGCTACGAACCCTTCACCTTGGTGAGCAACCTGTGGTGGGAATGGGGAGGAAAGAAAAACACAGAAAGCTGGGGTGGGCTGGCAGGCGGGTGTCCTGAGCAAGTGAAGGCGACAGTAGTGAGGCTGGTAGTCTTGGGGTTAGTAACAGAGCCCACGCAGGGAGAGCAGGTCTTCTGGGTCAGAAAGCTACACGTGGACTAAATAAATACAACATCTTTATTTGGCATTGGGTATCCTGACATTTGTTCATCACAGTTTCTTAGAAAACAAACCAAAAAAATCAGAACAAATTGATCAAAAATAAAGATCCAATGGCCCTATTTACACATAGCAAAGACAGCCCAGGCATTTCCCATGTGCATGTGCACACACACGTGTGCACACACATGCACACACCCTGGGAGACAGTTAAGGGGTTAATAAGCTTTGGGAAGTGCAAGGGGCAGGTTCCATATTTTAGGAACTTTAAGACACCTCCTCTTATGAAGTAAGGGTGCCTCATTCAGCCAGTGGGGTAGCAAGAGTGTGGTTGGCAGCTTTATGTTTCCTCTCAGAATGTCTCAGAAAATAACCCTCCATCTGGCAACTGACATCGTCTTAAGAGTCAACGAGATTCAGCCACTTTGAGGACCTCCCTCCCTGCTTTTCCCACACCCTGGATCACTATCTGATTAAACCATAAATCCCCAAACCACTAAAAGTCAAATAGTCCCTGCTTCTGGAAAGGGCTGATGCAAAAATGTCAGCTCTCACCCCTTGCTCTCTCCCTGGGTGCTCACTAGAGGCCCATTGTTCAAGGGTCTTAGTGTCAGGGAAGCTGCCTGAAGGCCACAAAACGACTTGAGCTGCTTATATGATCCAGTGTGATTGTGAGGGAGAAGGCCTCGAGCTATGGCAAATAGAACCCCACAGGTAGGCATCAGTCATTACTAAAGAGTGGTAGGATTTTTGTCCAATTTGTCCTTACAAAGGTGGAGGGATTTCTGGGAGGGACTCTCCCAGGCATGACATACAGAACCTCTCTGGCTGAGGGGATGCAGACAGAAAGTCTTTGAATGACAATACCCATAACCTGGTCCTCAACAGGGTTAGATTGGGGCAGAGGAGGTGGCTCTAAAAACCCCTCCAGGGCAGTGGGGCCAACCTACAAGGAAGATTTCTTGTGATGCCTGCCCAGCCCCACGCCCTTCCAGAAGTCTCAATGCCCTGGGAGAAAAGACTTCCATCCCCATAGGAGCCAGGCCCCAGCGGCAACTTGGGTCCTGCAGATGCCCAACACCCTCCACCCAGTCCCCCTCCCTGTCTCCCCCCACCGCCGCCAGCCCTCACTTCACCAGCACTGACTTTGGCAGAAAGGGCTCCGTGCTGAGGTCTCCACGGTGGGAAGACAGCTGTGGTGGCGGTGGCTGCCCTGGAGGCTGTTGGTGAGTGCAGGGCCCAGAGGTGGAGGCAGAGGTGGAAGCAGAAGCTATTGCTTTGGCTGCACCTCGGGGAAGGCTGTAGAGGTAGACAGCACCGATGACCAGCCCAGCACCAAGGGCAAACAATGGGTCCACGTGAAAGCCGAAGAGGCGGATGGAGGCCACAGTGGACAGCACAATGGACAGGGAGGTGGCAAAGCCCTTGAGGATGTTGTCGGCGTACTTGACGACAACAGCCACCAGTAAACCACCAAAGGCCTGGTTGAGCACCACACCCCAGACAGCAGGTGTGTACCCGAAAAAGAATCCACGGTGGGCCACAGCGGTGCCCTCAGCCCACCAGAGCCCCACCAGGCCCAGTGCTGTGCCGAAGAGGCCCAGCTGCAGGTTGCGCAGCCACACGGAGCCTGAACTGCCTTTGAGGATCTTCTCAAAGTAGACACCTGCAAAGCCGGAAGAGAGGCAGGAGGCCACGACAGCCGCCAGGCCTGCCCCAGGGTTCTGACCCAGCGTCCGTGGGCCCCCACCACCGGCTTGCTGTGCCTGGACAATGGCAACGCCTGTGAAGAGGAGCAGCAGGGAGGCCCACTGCAGCCGGGAAAGGCTTCGGTTCAGCATGAGCACGGAGAACAGGGCTGTGGTCAGGATCTTCAGCTGGTACGTCACCTGCGAGTGGCATGTGGAAGGCATTGAGGGCTGCCCTTGACCCCCAACATGTGCACATGGGGGACAGCACCTACTGTGGGCCCCCAGGCACAAAGGGGGGACAGGGTGGGGTAGATGACAATAAAAACAGCAAAAGTCTCCAGCCACAGGCCATTGACTGAGATGCAGCTAAATAGCTCTGAGGCTGCCTCCCAGAAGGTACACAGAAGGTTGACTGTGCACGGAAGTCCCGAGCCGCACCTAAGCGCACATCCAACCCCATTTCCCAGCTGTGTGATAAGGGAGGAAGCACTTGCCCTGTCTGAGCCCTGACATCATCTGCTGTAAACTATGGCTGGTGTATGTGAAACACCTCACACAGTAGGTAATGAATGAATGGTCAACATCGTGATGAGGGAGGTCAACAATACCTGTTGATACAAATAAGTGAGCCATACAATGTCAGCAAACACGTACATAGCACTTACTATCTACTAGGTGTGGGTCTAAGCACTTCACATGAATTCGTTCTTTAATCCTCATGTAGTAAGTGGGCACCAGTGTAAAATGCAATTTAAAGATGAGAAAACTAAGGCACCGAGAGATTAAGTGACTTGCCCAATATCACACAGCTGGAAAGTAGCAGAGCTGGGATTTAAACCCAGGCACCCTGGCCCCAGAATCCAGGCTCTTTAACCATTCAACAAGGCTGTCTGCAAATAGTCTAAAGCTTTTCTATCGCCAACCAAGGACTCTTCCCAGGTGTTATACCTTTTAATCACTCCAGTGTCTCAGTGAGGAGCTATTACCATTTCCATTCCCATTTCCCACAGATGAGGAAACAAAGTTTGAGGGAGCTCCAAGGACATTCCAAAGGTGACACAGCTCCTGCTCTCCGCAGCCCCCCTCCACATCCTATATCCCCCATCCCAGCCAGTTCCTCCAGGGTCATGCTGGGCTTGGGGCTCACCTGGAAAGTGGCAGCTGGCAGGTTGGAGATGGCAACATACTGGAGGTTATTCTGTAAGGTGTAGATGAGAGAGGGCACTGCAAGCTTGAGTGTGTCCACATACTGCACCAGGACAGCCTCATGGAGGAAGAGGACCAGGTGCTTCACGTTACCTTGGTAGGGGGAGGAGAGCCCATTTTAGCACCGACTACCAAAGATGGGGATCCTCTGAGGACAGGGACTGGGCCTGGCCCTATCTCCTCGCCACAGTCTGACTCCCTTGAAGGCTAGAATGAGGTCTGTGCTCTCAATTTTCCTGTAGTACAAGCACATCTCCAGTAGGCCTTTCATATACTCAGTTGAACAGACACAGAAGTCCATTAATAATGGACGTAACACTGTGTCTGAGAATCATAGACCATATCTCACTCATCTTAGAGCCTACCTCCCTGGCACAGAGCACCATTCACGGCAAGCACTCAGTACACATTTGTACAATGAATTCAACAGCATTAAGTAGGAGCTTGTGGAGTGGAAGCCCTAGGAGCGAGCGTGGAAGGCTGTTTACCGAACAGAGGGGAAGTTTTAGACTCGACTTGTAGACTTATCCTAGCTCCTTACTGGCCTGCGAACTGCCCAAGGGGCCATCTCTCACTTGACTGCATCTTTATGTCAGCCCTACACACACCAAGCAGTTGCCCCTGCCACATGGAAGAACGCAGGCTTAATTATTAAGCAGGAAGTTTAGTTAAGACCTGCTCCAATCAATAAACGAGAATATATAATAAGGCATTTGCAAAGCTCACCTCCCTTTTTTGCAGTTCAGTGTCACTCCTCAGGGAAAAAACCTCACATCCACTGCACAAAATTATGGCAGAAACTCCTGCTGATGCTTGTTCACAAAACCCTGTCCATGCACTTCATGGTATTAATCCCAGGAGTAATTATCAATGTCTACCCCTCTGCCCAAATTCACTGGGCCCAGGGGTTTGGGTGTTCAAAAATTTCCAGGTGTTAGAAAGGTAACATGGTATACATACTATACATTTCACATAACACACCCCACATATATGGGGCTATGCACCATAATCAAGCACATTCATATTCCCACCAAATGAGGAAAAAAAACAACAACACAAATATACAAATACCCCCACATCCAGGTCAGGCCAAGTTTTACCACCTAACTAATTCAGGAAAAAGAAATAGCGGTGGGGGTTGAAATTGTAGCTAAGAGATGAAAGCCTGTGATTAAATTTGCAGCTATTTGTTTCTCCCCATCTAAAATATCAGCCCTGTGAGGGCAAGATGCATGTCTGAACTGCTAACATGCCCACCTCCATAGCCAAAGCAGGGCCTGCCATGCAGTGTTCACTCGGAAGTGTCTCAGAATCAACCAGGAACAGAGCAAGTGGGTCCCTAAACTGCTGCCTCCCATGAGTGAATGAGTAAGAACGTCTTGTTCAATGTAAGTGCTGGGGGTACAGCCACATGCAAGGCCTTTATAGAGAAACGACTAGGCAACATTTTAAAGAAGAAGGCCTTCAGGGAGGTGTTTACATTAGTAGATAAACCCAACTTACAGGGAATACAGAAGACAGAACATGTTAAATACTACTACAGGGAGGCAGTCAGCAAAATCCAGGTTACCCAAAGTCTGTAAGACAAATGACCTGCTTTCTTCAACAAATTAACTAGAGAGAGAGGAAATAAAACAGAGTTGGAGGGAAACCTAGAGGTGGACAGACCCAGAAGACATCAACGAGTTACAAAACACTGACCTTGATATAAACTCAATTCAGACAAATTTTTAAAAACGTTTATGACATTTGAGAAATCACTACAAAACTTGGACATTAACTGGATATTTGGATCTTTTGTTAACTTTTAAAATTATTGTTAATTTTTTTATGTATAATTTTTAGTTATTGCAGTTATTTTTTTAAATGTACCAAAATATATATTCAAGATAATAAGGGTGGATTTACTTCAAAATAATACTTAATATGGGACATAGGTCAGGCCCCTGAGTGCCATTTGTTTCATTTCATGTTGTTGCTTTATAATGTTGATAAGATGTCTACAAACTTAACTCTTGTTTGTATCAATCAGCCTATGGTAAAACTGGTTTTGTTTAATGTTTCATGTAAAGTCTCATTACGTATTGATAACTGATGATGTTAATGGAGGACTTACTGTACTTCAGTATAATACAGTGGGGGGCATAGTATGCAGACATAGATGGGCAGTGAGTGGATAATTACTGATGATGTTTAATGCCAGAGTGGCCATAAGTTGATACTTGTTGAATCTGGGTAATAGGTACATGGGTATTTTACTATTTTATTATTCTCTCCGATTTTGTGTTTGAAATTCTCCATAATGAAATGTTAAAGAGAAATAAATAAATCGCCATGTAAGGATCGCCTTCTACTTATGAACACATACTGTCTCACTTGTACAGTCCCCTCAGGCCAGCTCCCAGGGGGGCTGGGGTATAAAAGTGTGGCTGCAGCTACTCATAGCTGGAGGGACAAGGCAGCTTAGCTGCACCTACATACTCCCCAGGCAGTTTCACAGGCAGATATACTCCCCCAGCAAACCCTCTATGTGGGTTTGGGTACACACACACACACACACACACACCCCACAGAGTCCCACCCACCGACTCCAGTGCAGCACCCTTCCCTGGCTCGTACCCCTCTTCTGTGCGAAGAGCAGCAGCAGGCAGGTGAGACCTTTGAGCACTTCGGCCATGACCACAGCAGTGGTGGCAAAGAAGCGGTCCCCAGGCAGCGTGCGGGTGTAGCGGATGCTAAGGATGAGGGAGGCATTCTGGACCACCAGCACGGCTAGGGATATGTATTTGAGGCGCCGGTGAGCTGTGGGGAATGGAAGGAGCAAGGGGGAAAAAGGGATCAGAAGCTGCTGGGGTATAGCCACACCACCCCCTTCCCCTCTCTTTTCTCAAGCAAAATCCTAACCACTGCTGCTTCTTCCCTCTGCCTACCTAGCCTGATCCAAACAGGATCTGACTTCTCCTGCTTCCACCACTGTCAGTCACAGGAAGAAAAGTCAGAAAGGGAGAAGTAGGCGGGGCTCATACCTGGAATCCTTGCTGAGGTGTCAGGAAATGGCTGGAGCAGGCCCTGAACACCCTCACTTTCCAAAGAGTGAGAAGCAGCTCTCCCCAGGACAGAATACTAACTACATTTTTAACAACGTTTACTGAGTGCTTACTGTGTGCCTATCACTGGGCTAAGGGATTTATATGGATTACCTCAACAGGCCACTATATCGCTCTCATCTCCTAAGGAACTATAAGGATTCCCATTTTATGAAAGAGCAAATCGAAGATTTATATGAAATATTGCTTCTATTTAATGAGGGGCTGTCCCATGTGAAGAATGATACCCCAATACAGGGAATGAGAGCACTGTATAGGGCATGTCCACCTCCTAAAAAACGGTCTTTCTCCCATCTAAGAAATTATTCCATTCCCTCAAACTCAGAATGGTGTCTCCAACCCCTTCTTTCTATGATGACTGATTCCTTCTGATCCAAAACGATCTAGCAAATATAAGAAACGGTTCTCACCCTTTCCCAAGGATTGAACCGCATATAGTCAGTGGTTACTTCACCAAGAATGAGTTCCCTCAATGGTATAAGGAGATATTTCCCTATACTACACATGGTCCAGTGCTCCAACCATCGCATCCTCCTACTTCCAGCCAAGGAATTATTCCTTGTTCTACTCACACAATAAACTCTTCCAGCTCTACGGAAGGGCCGGGCATCCTCAGAACGTCCTTTTTCCCCACTCCCACATACAATGAACTATACCTCCATTTGGAGGGGACCCCCAGATCGGTCTTCTCCCCATATAATGAAGGACATCCCTACCCTCAAAATGGACTCTCTAAGTCACATAAGGAAGGACCCGCCCCACCCTAACTCACAATAGCCCCAGTATTTTATAAGGAAGAAACCACCACCCTTAGAATAGCCTCTCCCTTCTATAAAGAACTCTTCCACACTCAGAATAACCTCTTCCTTCTGTAAGGAGAAATTCTCCCACCCTCGGAATGGTCTCTCCCTTCTATAAGGACGGACTCCACACACACTCAGAATGGTCTTAGTGGTCCTAGCCTCCCCAAAAAGACATACCCCCCTAAACTCAGAATGGTCTCTACTCTCCAAGTGCGGAAGGGACCTCCCCTCGCCCTCAGAATGGTCTTTTCCCTACCCCCAACACACTCACAATGGTCTGTTCTGTCCTCCCCCCCGCGCCCCCACCCCCGCCACACACCCATAGGTCGGTCCATACGGGATGCTCGCTCTCGCCTGAGTGAGGAACCTTCCTGACCCCCTCAGCGATCCTGACCACCGCCCCGCCGCCGACCGCTCGGCCACAGACTGTCTCACCCGCACTCACGGTCCCAGGCTCCAACGCCCCCGCCCCCGCGGAGACCGCCCCTGGCCCGGCCGCCGCGGTGGAACCACTAGACCCAACCGCTGCCATGTTGGCATCTGCCCGGCCCGTCCCCTCGGCAACAGCAGGTCACTTCCGTGTCTAACACTTCCGCTTCCGGGGTGAGGCAGGGTGCTGGAAGGGTTGACTAGTGCGGTGGCTTTCCCTGTCCCCTCCAGAATGCGTTATGCCACCGGCCTCGGGACTTCCAAATTCCGCCTGGATAAGGACATCGGGCACGTGACCAGCGCAGCCTCCCGCGGTCCCGGCACAGCCCCTTCCCGTTACTAGACCCGCCCCCATCTCCATCGATCGTTTTCCAAATCACCCGCCCAGCCGGTCTCCTTGTCTCATTGGTTCGGTTGCCCCGCTATCTCTGCACCGTCTTCTGATGGCACCGCCCTTTCCTCATCCAAACTCCTTTGCTGGTTGGACCAAAGTTCCTTTCCTATCCCGGTAAAGCTCCGCCCCCTGGAGAGCCTGCGGGCATCTGGGAGGGAAATAAGATTTTGAGGGAGCTGGGCAGGTAAGTTAGAGATAATATCAAGACAGTTTACGATATAGAAGCAAAGTCACTGGAGGGTTCAGACTGAGAAGGGAGTTCAAGTGTCACCGTTGAGGATGGAAAGGGAGAAGGGGACAGGTAAGCCAGCAGCTGAGGTTTACAGATTAGCTTTTGAAAACAGGCCAAGAGTACAGCTGAGGTTGGGACAAGTGAAACCAAGATAGTAGAGGGCAGGGCAGGTAAATCAAGAGTTGAGGAAGCAGAGATGAGAGGGATGAGCAGGTAAGACAAGGGAGAGGCGAAAAGGTAAGGGCAAAACAGGCGCCTTACACTCTGGATGTTACTAGAAATCAAAGGGCTGGGAAGTTTCCTGTGTGCGCTCAACCCTGGCCCCACCCTCAGCAGTGCCGTGAAAGGGCTTTTCTTCTCCCATGAGGAAGAGATTTCTCCCTAGGGTTGGGAGCCGTTTTTTCTGCCCGAGCTAACCATCTTTAATTGGAGATGTGTCCTAAACGTCTTCAATGTCTCTCTCCAATTGAGCCCTTCTGCACATACTGGGCACTACATGAAAGCAGGTGTGTGTGTGTGTGTGCTGTCAAGTTTTCCTCTGTGGTCTTGCTTACATGAACCCATAAAAGATCTTTAGGATGGCACAAGGCTGAGGCTTCCTGAGGGTAGAGTTGAGATCCAGTCCATCTCCCTTTTGTCTCAGCATGCAGTAGATGCTCCACAAATGCCCATTACAACTACAAATGGCCGGTCACTTGTGATTCTATTAAGTTTATTAAATAGTGGGATTCCGCACATGGCTTTTTAAATAATCCAGGCAGGGGGAGAAGGGAGAGGATGACACATTTGGAGCTCCCTTCTCCCAATACATAAGTATTTACATTTCAGCAACTGGACAATCCTGGCTCAGAAGGAGGCAGCAAGAATCCAAAAAACATGGGGGAGGCCCCAGGTGAACAAACAACAAGACTTATTTCCCCTACCCCATTCCCCCCAAAAACACACCCCTCCACCCTAGTGGACTTTAGTGGTATCCATCTCCCATTCCTTCCCAAATTATGGAAGTAGGGTTCTCACCAGAATAAGAGCACTTAGAATAACACAGTGGGGTCCCCCTCACCAAAAAAAAATAAAAAATAAAAATAACAAAATTAAAAAAAAATATTTTTAAGCCCTGGGATAACAATAGGGCATTACCTCCCCCAGAGTAAGCAACCTTGGGCTGAGGTAGGCAAGCAGCTTGACTGAATATGGGACCCTAGGCTAGAGGAAAGGGTCCCTTTACTAAAGTAAAAGCTGCTGGGGTATCAAAGGAAAGCACCCTTGCCCAAGTTAGAGCATTTGAACTAAGTTTGTGTGGTGGTAGCAGGAGGTGCCCGTGTAAGGGTTGTAACAAATCAGAGTAAGAGTCCTGGGACTCAGAAGGGAAGTAACTTCAACCAAGTAAACATCCTTAGCAAAATGAGAAGAAGTCCCTCCAGATAAGAAACCGTAAATTCTGGGAGGGCTCCTTAGCAGAATTGGGATGGGGACTGGGCAGACTTGGTTTATCTCTTCTGACCCCTGATCCCCAAACTCTGACCCTAGTTAACACTGGATTTGTGATGGCCTGTAAAACCAGGTCAACAGATGTCCTTCTGTCCCTTTGGCATGGCCATGGGATGGCCATCCCAATTAGGGCAGCAGGGACCAGGCCAAAGGAGTGGGACCCCCTTTAGGAGAGCTGGAGGGAGCATCCTCAGCTGCTGTCTGCATCCAGGGGTCCAGCCGGATCTCCTCCAGTGAGGGTCGGGCAGAGGGTTTGGGGGCCAGGCACCGGCGGATTAGGGCACAACAGTCTGCAGGTCAGAAACACACAGGGGATTAGCAGTTAGTTGTGAGCACCAGTCACTGGGAGGGATGGAGTCCACTGGGTTGGGTCCAGTGAGGGCCTCACCTGGGGATACATGGGCAGGGAAGTGAAGCTCAGCCTGCAGAATCTCCTGGTCTCTCTCGAAGGGAATGTCCCCACACACCATGTCATAGAGGAGGATACCCAGTGACCAGACAGTGGCTGGGAGTGCATGGTACTGGTGACGAGAGATCCACTCTGGGGGGCTGTAAACCCTTGTCCCTGCACACAAGCCAGAGGTTAGACCACTCTCTCATAATGCCCTTCTCCCATCCCACCCTCCTCAGGAAGTATCGTTCCCACACCAGAATTAAGAGAACATACTGTATGAGTAGGGTCCCCTCACCACAATAGGAGGTCTTTAAATATAATAGCAGGGTTTCATCATCAGAATAAGAGCAGTTAAGATAACAGCAGGATCCCCTTACCAGGAAAAGAACACTTAGGACAATAACAGGATCCCCTCACCAGCATAAAAGTCCAGAACAAGGAAGGTCAGGGCACTGTGAGAAGAGGGACTTTAACAGAGGGCAAGGCTTGAGAATGCCCAGTATTAAAATCAAGAACCTTATAAAGGTGCAATATAGATCAAGGGTTACAGGATACCCCAGCACTGAAGGGCAAAGGTCCACAGGCCATAAAGCTAAAAGCTAAAAATTCTCCCCACTGAGTTTTAGTGAAGCCTTACCATCAAAGTCAGTGTAGGGTTTATCATGAAGCAGGGCACCAGAACCAAAATCAATGAGTTTGATACAGTCCCGGCGGAGGTCTATCAGGATGTTCTCATCCTTGATGTCACGATGGACAACTCCACGGGCATGGCAGTGCCGAACGGCTGCCACTACCTGAGCAAAGAGGCAGCGGCTTCGGTCTTCACCCAATGGGCCCTGCTCTGTTATATAGTCAAAGAGATCCTGGGAAGGCAAAGGCCGCTCGAGGACCAGCGTGTAGCCCTCTGGTGTCTTAAACCAGTCAAGCAGGCGGATCACACCAGGGTGTCCACCACCTGCACCCACCTTCCACAGCAGTTCCACTTCCAGTGGGCACGAGACTGAGTCTGACTGGGGGGGGTGCAGAAACAGGGAGAGAAAAGGGAATACAGACATCAGGTCAGCAGCTCTGAGGCTGACTTCTCACCTGAACTTAAATCATAGCCCCTCAGCCTCCCGACTGTGTGGCCTTGAGCAAACCACTTCCTTCCCTGGGCCTCAGTGTCCTCATCTTAAGGGCTCAAACTCACAGCCATTGGGAAAGTGATTCAGGTCAAAAGCTTATGCACATCTGGCACATAATAGGAGCTCAGTAAATATTTGAATAAAAGTGGTTCTTAATGAAAGACACTATTACATAAATTTTTAACTGTTTTGTCCACTGACATCTCCAAAGAGTTTATGATGAGATAGGGAGGATTGTAATGGTGGTACTAAATCTATTATGAGATTTGGAGCTCTGGTATAATTTGATTTAACAAGTTTAATTTAGCTTGGGACTTTTTGAAAGCTTTGTTTTCCTTCTTTGCTGCATTTCCGGCAAATGTTAAAGATTCTGCTTCCTATACATTTAATATGCAGTTTCAATGGTTCTGTTTACTTTAGCCCCAGTGCTGGCCCTGGGACTTGGGAGCGGTTTTGCATCTGTATGGGATCCACTCCTGGCGCCAACTTAAATCTACATAACATATGCAAAGGTGGCGATAAACAGCTTAACTGCACCTCCCCCCACCTAAAGGAACAAAGGCGAACTCAATAGAAAATTCCACTACAGGGCAAAGCAATTTACATCCTGTTGAGAAAATTTAAAACTTCAGACAAGATTGGACACAGTCGTTTGCAGTCGTTTCCAGTGGACTCTGCCCAGCAGACCCTTCTCTTTAATAAATCTTCCGTCCGTATTTCTGCATGACGCATGAATTCTTTCACGACCCGAGAACGAGCAGCCACAAGTTTAGAATAGTACCTTATGCACAGTAGGTGCTCAATAAATGTTTGTTAAATATCAATACTGTGTAATGGTTTATTTTGTTCACTGACATAGCTCAAGCACTAGAACAGTGCCTGGTAACAGGACAGGGCTTAAATAGGTATTATGTAGGTGAAAGCAATTAGTAGAAAAGGATCTAGCACAAATGAAGCTCTCAATAAATATATTTTGCTAAGTGCCTAGAACCATATTGAATGAAATTAATTAACTAGTGGGACTTGGAACCCTGTAAGCCTTTATAATGAAGCAAAGCCTGAGGCATACAGCTGGTGCTCAATAAAAGGCATAAATGTTACTGGCCACAAAAGCTGCTCCACTCTAGAAGCCCCACGTGGGACATGGGATTTCCAGAAGCAGCCCTCCTACCGGAGGTGGGCCCTCTGCTGGCAACTCCACCGACCTGCACAGCTTCACAGGTTTTCTCACGGCGGTAAAAATTACTTACTGCGCAGGCGCAGTCTTCCCAGATCCCGCCAGGGGGCGCTCCCGCCTCTACAACTGGCCCAGACCCACCCTGCTGTCCGTTAGCACGCTACAGCAGAGAAGTAGCCACCGTCACCATGGCAACCACTGACCTCTGCCCCCCTTTCCCCACCAGCATGCCCTGCGGGCAGCCCCTGAAGTAGTGTTTGGAAGGAGGACGAGAAAGGGGGGTTAGAGGGGATTAGATCCCCCAGGGCTCTAGGGGATCTGGGGTGAGTCAGAACTGTGTGGAGGTGTGGATGTCACCGCAGGCGAGTAAACGGGCTGGGAGGAGTGATTTCGCCGTTACAGGGCCCGGGCAGGCACACAAACTGTAGAAAGGCAAGGGGGCGAGTGAGCCCATCGTTAGCCATGGCGCCGCCAGGTCAGGAAGGGCCCCAAAGATACTCACCACAGAGGACCAGCCCAGCACGCGATTCCGGGGAATCATTTTGACGGCCACCTGGAGAAGCGAGCTGGGGTAAGGGGGCCGGCAGATGACCCCCGGAGCCTCCCAGTGCTGAGCCTCACCCAAGTCTTTGTGGCCCCAACCACACCACACAACGACCCTCAACGAGCCGGGGCTTCTCCCCTGCCCGCCAAGTCCCCAGGACCAACTTCACCTCTCCCACCGCCCTCAGCCCCACCGCCCTCAGCCCTGGGATCTCCCTTCTCAGGAGCGCGCACTCCAGGTCCTTCCTGAGTTCCGAATTTCCTCACACCCCAAGCGCTCCATCTTCCCAACCAGCCCCAGGACGCTCCAACTCTGTCCCGGGGTCCTGGTCCTCAGGACTCCATACTGGACCCCTTGCCTCCAAAATCCCCTAAATCTCAGTTCTGGGTCCCCACCTTCGCACACATATACACATACTCTGGATCCCAGGATGTAGAGTCCTCAAGACCCCCATTCCCTGGTCTCACTCACTGGCCCTCCGGAATTCCTGCCCCTCCCCCACACGCCCCTCCCCCATAAGCCCACCTGAGTCGTTCCCCCTCACACACATACAAGCACATGAGGGCGCGCGCACTCGAACGCCCCCAGCAATCCGGGTCCCGGTTCTCAAGACCCTACCACACACACATTGTGGGCTCATTCCCGGTCAATCCGCTGACTAGTCCGGGCCTCCCGCCTCAGCCACACGCACACCTGACCCTCCACAGACCCTCGTGGCGGATACCTGGAGTCGGTCTGTGATGCGATGTCCTGCGAAGACCGTGCCAAAGCCCCCCTTACCCAGGAGTGGGCCAAGTCGGTACTGGGCCTCGAACGCTTCCCGATCCTTGCCTCCTACGCAGGCGGAGGCGAGGAAGTCAGGATGGCCGCGTGCAGAGCCCCGCCACGACCCCTACCCCCTCGCCCCGCGCCACCCTCCACTGCTTGAGCCCTCCCGGCCTGGTAGCGGTAGGGAAGCCTAGCTCACCTGGCGGCGGCGTGGGGGTCACGGGGGCCACAGCGAGCCCCTGAAGAGGTTTGCTCAACATGGAGGAGGCGCTGCGCAGATTGAGCCCGCTGAGCCCGCAGGGCGTGGACGCCTGGGGCAGCGAGGCCGGGGAGCCAGGACTAGGAGGCGCCAGGGTGGAAGACAGGGAAACTGGTGGCCCAGAAGCGCCCACAAACGGTGCACCGCTAAGATTTGCCGAGCGCGCCAGCCCCAACGCTACTGAACCGGGGCACGCGCCTCCGGAGAGAGTCGCCCTGAGCAACAGCCCCGCCCACTTGGCTTTGATCAATCCGGACGCGGCACCTGCTGTACCCCAGCCAATCGGAGCCAGTCCTTATTTGCATACCACCCTCAATGTTTCAAGTACTTCTTATGCAAATACGTGCCCGGATCTTCCGTGGGGGTAGGGCCTGTATGCAAATGAAGGGGGCGCGCGAAGATGAAACCGGTTCTGGGAATCCCTTTGCAGCTACCGCATGTTTTGGTTGTTGCACGGGGTTTTTATAAATATATATATATACGTGTGTGTATATATAGATATAAACTTAAAAAAATAACTGCACCCCCTCCTTTCCTAGGAAGTTGGTTTGCCGCTGCTGCCTCGAGATTAGCGCGGAGATAATGCCAGGCCTGGCTTCTAAGAATCCCGGCCTGAGGCTATCCAGGATCTTCTCCGAAGGGTGCTTCTCACAAAGGGCAAGGGCCCTCTAGGCGGCCGAAGGCTTCCGCCCTGAAACCGAAGCCAGGGATCCAGGAAGAACCTGTCCAGCTGCCAGGGAGGGGTAACCCCCTGACCACCACTGCGGGGGATGCGCTGGTCAAAGGGCTGCATCCCTGAAGCGGCGGCCTGTGGGGTGTTTTTGGATCCCTTAACATAGACCTGGCTAGACATGGCCATGAGCCCAGTCAGCAGGTCCAGAATCTGGAATGGCAGGGGAATGGTTCTTGAGGAGTGGGAGCAAGCCAGAAAGGTGGTGGCTTAGAGGTGTGCTTCCAGATGAGACAGCTATTGAGAGAGCTCCAAGAAGTGATAAAAAACCCTTAGTCACAAATTTGTGGAAAACAGGCCTCATGTCACAGGCATACAGACATGCACTTCAGAGACACACAGATGTACCATGTGAGATATACACCAACACATACCATCGCATTCGTGTAAACTTGTCCTAGACACACATGCAGACATGCACTGTCACAAAGACAGTGACATCCACCGTCAGGCAGGCATGCTGCCAAAAAGAGAATCGTGTCCCAGAATGACACAGAGATACAGTTACAGAAAGACAGGCACTCCAGAGATTCACGTAGACCTACATTACCATGTGACAGTGACACAGAAATGTCCTGTCAAACACACGGCCAGAACTTATCACAAAGACACTGGCACTGCACCATCAGACATACACTGTCACAGAAAGACTTGTATTATCCCAGAAATGAGAGACCCAGAGTCTGTCACAGGAAGCCACACAGACATTCCAGAGACACAGCACTGCTGCAAAAGCAGACATTTACCTATGTGATAAGAGCCACATACAGAGGGTGCCAAACAAAAAATGTGTACACATTTTAAGAAAACTGTATTACAATTGTGATACTCAATATACACCAATAACAAAAGATGAATGTAAGTCACGTTTGACTTCTGCAATTACAAGAGGTACTCAAAGTGGTGACCATCAGCGTCCAGACATTCTGATTACCACCAACTACTGCTTGAGCAACGCTGGCCAAAGTGTCCACTTGTATACATTTTTTTGGCACCCCCAGTAGATAGGCAGTGTCACAAAAACACAAGTGGGTAGACCGAGTCACAGAGACACATACACCCATAGGCATGCAGCAGTCACCGACACTGTTCAGAAATTGCTATCCAGAATCCATCACAGGAATACAAACAGACATCCACCCCACCAGAAAGAAACCACAGATACACTGTCATAGACCCACGCAGACATGCATTCATCTCAGAAACAGACACAAACTGTCAAGAGACAGTCCCACACTCAGGAACCATCTGACACAGCTGGAAACAAGCCCCCGTCACACATTGTTAGAAACTCTCGGTGAGATGCGCATAAAGACTTGTACTCACCAGTCACACACACACAGACAACACCCAAAAAGCAAATACACACATGTACTCTCCCTTATTCATACAACATTTATTAGGGGTCTACTGTAAGCCTGCCAGGTCCTGGTGGGGGTGCAGATATTAGAGATATACAGATAAGTCAGACATCATAGCCCTTGCCCAGGAAGTTTGATAGTACAGTTATTGGGAAAGAGTAAAGACATGTTTATAGATAGAGGCAAGAATGTGCATGGGTCACACAAGGATTCTCTAAAGGTGACCCTCTACACATCTTGAAAGACAAGGCTGGGGGCTTGGGCCAGGGAAGAGCAAATTCCAGGAGGAGGCCAAGGAAATTGGACAGAGTGGCAAGAAGTAGGCAGGGGCCAAATTGTGCATAACCTTCAACAGGATAGTAAATATTTGCTAACATTTGAGCTCTCAGAATGTGCCAGGCACTGTGCCATCATTATGTTGACCATATGCACTCTCTCAATGCTCACAACCAGAGAGAGCATGAGGTGGTAGACCTTAATCACTCGTCGTACACATGGGCCACTTGAAACTGAGAGAGCCTGTGATTTGACCAAGGCCACACAACTAGAAAAAGCTGAGGCATGTTTCAATTCAACTCTCCAACATACACATGCTTGACCAGTGGATTCCAGACACACCGTGGATAACCACTCTGCCAACCATGCCCTCACCTGCAGAGCTGGAATGCATTCTTCCACAGGGGCCCCATTATTGAGGCACAGTAAGACAAGACACTTGACAAAACCTGGGGGCCAGCCATCCTTCACTACCTTGGCTTTACCCCTAGGAAGGTCAGTGACCCCGAAGTGTCAGAGGACGGGGATGTGAACAAAAAAAAAGTTCAGCTGTTCCTCAGCTTCTAAGACCTGGTGGGGGAGGCCCCGATGGACACTTCCACTAAACTCATATTATGAAGCATCCATTGTACCTTTCCAAAGCATTTCCTCATCAAACAATCACAAGAGCCAACATTTATGGCGAGAGACAAACCGAGGAAGTTGGAAGTTCAGTCCCTGCCCTCAAGCTCCGTCCTCTGCTCCCATCACTCCCCAGGAAATAAGGTGGGCAGGCTACATCCCGTGCCAGTACTGAGGCAGGGGCAGCAGGCAAAAATGGAGCTTTCTTGGCGGCAACGGTGAATCAAATATGAACAAATTCTAGGCCCCCAGACAGACCCTACTAGAGAGCATAGCCCTCAGAGGTCAAGCCAAGGCCTGTGCCCTTGCCGCCTCTGACCAGAGCCCACCCTCGCCCACTATGGCCCATACAGAACAGAGGCGCTCCGGGGAAACTGATATTTGGTTTTATTGTGCCAAGGACATCACAGATGGCGGATCTTGTCAACACCTGCAGGACACGGGTGCCCCATCTGCCAAGGCTGCTCCCACTCCCCACACTCAAATCCTGGGTGGCGGTCATGATCCTCAAAAGTGCCCCCCACCCCAAGATTCCAAAGAAACTGGTGGTGGTGGTGGTGGTGGTAGTGGCGGTGGAAGCAAAAGGAATGCAGCGAGGTCAGGGTCTCATTGTCCAAAGCCCACATGACACTTGCCCCCCCCGGCCCCCCTCCCTGGCCCTGGCTCATATTCTAGGCCCTGCCCACCTCCACAGAGCTGGAGGCCAGAGACAGCAACGGCATCTTTGTGCCCTCTCCGTGCCCCATGGCCTGCCTGCCCCCAAACCAGAGAGATGCCACCTTCATAGAGCCAATGCTGTTGTCTGTCGTTTTTGAATGGTTGACTTTATAAGATAAAAGTACATTTTAATAAAGAAAAAATCCAACATTGAAGGCTCAGAGATTCTTGGGGTACTGGGAAAGGGAATTCCCCATTTCTTCCTCTCCCACCTCCCTGGCATTGTTGTGGAGGTGGGGTGACAAGTTTTTCTGATCTTGGAAGGAATGGGGATCAGGGACGCTTTCCTCTGTCTGAATGTCTCTCCTCAGGGGTTGCCTGGCTGCCAGTTGGTTTGTCTCTGTGTGCCTCTCGCCTACCTTCGGCACCTTTGCCCAAGTCCCCTGTGGAATGCAGGGATGGTGCTGTGCAAGGGGCAACAGGGCACGTCAGCTGGCGAAGAGACAATTGGTGGTGGTGGCAGCGATGAGACGGGGCACAGGGATGGGCCAGCAAGAGGGAAGTAGGGAGGAGAATAAGGAAGGGAGAGAGGGAAGGAGGAAGAAGGCAAGAGGGAAGAAAGCCAAAGAAGGTGGGGTGGCACTGGAGGGCAGGAGTGGTAGGGGTTGGGAGATGGTCTCCAGTCTCTGGGTCTCCATCAACTCTTGTCTGGGGGTGGATCTCTGTGCACTTTGTTTTTCTTCATACTGTCTAGGTATTCCTGTTGGGACACTGCCAGCACCGATGCTAGGATCTCATCATCATCCCAGTCATTCAGACCTGCTTGGACAAAGGAAGGGAAAAAGGATGATGGAGCACCCTTAGCCTGCCTTCTCCTCGCCCTTCGCTGATCCCTGGCTCTAGAGATGCCATTTAGGCCCCTCTCACTCCTATCTCTAAGAAGGCTCCTCTGAGCCTAGGAAACCCCACTCAGAACCCATCTGGGGCAGATCCCTTGGACCTGAAAGATTCCCTTTGGTTGGGGAGATGGCCATAGTCTTCAGAGGTTCCCCTCTCAGGACTTACTGATTCTTCAATCTCTCCCCAACTCCCAGCTGGCCCCTGACTCCTAGACAGAGAAGGCTTACCAAAGGCGGACGGGGACATCTGCTGAATGAGGGCCCGGCACTCCAGAGCAGGGTAGAGGGACACAAGGGGGGAAGTCGCCTGGTCGGCCCCGGTCGAGAGCTGGCTGCTTGTACCTGGGGTGGATGGACAGTCAGAGGCAGGGCCCAGGACCTAGGCAGCATTTCCTAAGCCCTGCATGCACCTTGTCAGTAAGTCACTGACCTGGTGCACTGGGCGAAGGAGGTTTGGCAAGAGCTAAGACAGTGCCTGGGGAAGGGGGCGTGATGCCCAGCTCGGCATGCAGCTCAGGGTGCTCGGGTGATGAGGCTGAACTCCGCTGCCGTGGGGACCGGCTAGTCCACTCCTCCAGGCCACTAGAGGCAGCTGCTGTGGCGGAACTGCACGTGGCGCTGGCTTTCCGGGGCTGCAGGAGGGAAAGAGGAGGAAGTAAGGACCTAAAATAGTCGCAACCCTCCTCTGCCCCATCCTTGAGGGCTTGCTCCCTCCCGGAATCCTGACTTGTGACACAGCTTCTACACAGGCCACCATGACTCCAGTCACACAATGGACCACAGGATGAAGGTAAGCTCCTTAAACCCCTCACACCCTCACAGCCAATCTGACAGGAAACCTGCTACCTCCACCTTCAAAACAGATCCAGAGTCCTCCTCCGCTCCCTCTCCCTTGCCTGCGCCATCAGCACTGGCCTGGACTACTGAGCCTCCTCCTTGCTGGTCCTGTTCTACTTTTGACCCCCAAACTCTGTTCTGCACTCAGCAGCCAGGGGGATCTTGTTAAATCCTAAGTCAGATCCCATCCCTCCTCTGCTCACAACCCTCCATGACTTTTGCCTCACTCGGAGTATAAGCCAAAGTCCTCACCATGGCTCTTTGACTTAATCTACCACTATACCCCAATAAAATCTTAAAAAAAAGAACAGGGATCTGGGCCTGCCTGGCTCACCAATATGCCTCTGTATACCATACCTAGAACAGTGCAGGGCACAGACCTACAATAAATATTTGTTGAACAAGTTACTCAGCTCTTGCCAACATCTACACTTTAAACTCCTTGTGATTCCTCAAATGTCTGTATATCCTGCCTACTCCCTGCCCTAAAAATTTCAAACTTCCAGTGTGAAGACTAACCAGAGCCCCCCATCTCCACTGGTCTCTGAGTCAGGGTCAAGGGCCCCACTGATGCATCTAACTCAAGAGAAAAGGGACTACTGAGGGTAGAGTGGGCTGTGTCTGATTTTACACCCTCAGCACAGAGCCTGGCACACAAGCACATTCAACAAAGCTTGTCCCTCTGAAACTATCCATCAATCCTATATGTCACTACCAATGACTGCCTTCCCTTACTCCTTAAGGGCTTGTTCTACACAAGTATCGAGAGTTCTAAAGAACAATGCCAAGACTAAGGCCAAGAGGAGGTACAGACAGGGCTGGGAGCTTCCTTTTTTCCCAGATGTCAAAACCGCTTAATTTTTTCCTGCCTGTTTGGGGGCAGAGCATAGAAAGTAATGGGTTCTTGGCAAAGCCAGTGACAGAGCCCAGGACCCACCTGGCTGGTGCCGCGGACCTGGCGGGCCTGTTTTTCCTGATCCCGCAGCCACTGCAGGTAGGATTCCCGAGCCACCTGCTCCTCAATGGCCTCATTTGTGGCCTCCCAGTCTGTGGCCCTCTTCTTGTCTTCCAGCATCTGCTGTTCAATCCATGACTCCTCTGATGTTTTTATGGCATTCTTCATCAGGGACTGCTCTGCAAACTGCAAAAGGGGGAGGAACAGGGATGTGGGGTGACACTCTGAACTGTGGCCAAGAGCCTGAACTGACTCAGGGAGGTGGACCCACAGGCCCAAAATAGAGGAGACAGGAAAGCAGGTACCCTTACTAAGTGCCCCCCTGGACAGGCTGCCTATTCATCAGGGACTAGGGGAAGGCAGGGTTGGGTGGTGGGACTAGTTCCAAATGCCTACACTTAGAAGCCCTGCTCCCGACTCCAAGATACCTCATCTGAAGTAGTAAGTCTGGGGCAGTCAGGTGCCTTCCAGCCTAGGCCAGAATTTAAAGTCTCACCCAATGATGACTCAGTTTCATAATGCTGAGGCCTTCCTTACCTATGCCCAGATGGAACAAGGAGGAAAGATCACCTGACAAGTTAGCTGTGTGTGCGTAGAGTGGAAGTGGTAGTCAGGTATTTAAGGGATGAGGGGACAGTATCAGCATGATCTTAGGTGCTATGAATTGTGGGACACTGTATGAGAGTGCACTTTGTCAGGTTGTGAGATACAACAGCATTTTAAAAAACAAAATAAAAAATATCAGAGCATATCCCAAGGAATAAAGGTTAAGTATTGTTTAGCGAAACTCTAACATTTTAATGCGCATATATACACTGCACACCAATGTGTGTGTGCATGAAGTAATGATATAAAATTTAACTTTTTTTACCTATGGCTAATAGTCCAAAAAGTATGCAAAACTCTATCAGAACAAGACAATTTTAAAATGTGCAAAAAAAATCTAAACACACAATTTCATCAGAGAGGATACAGATGCCAAATATGCATATGAAAACATGCTCAACACCATTTGTCATTAGAAAATTGCAAATTAAAACAAGGCAGTACCTATCAGCTGGAGATATCATTAATTGTAGCTTCACATAGACACAGATGGTTACATATAGAAATATTTCTAGATATGTGTAAACACACAGGTTAGTATACACACACATATATCTCCTTACTCTGTCAGCTGAAAAAGCCTAGAAGCAAGGACACCCCTGTGGCACACTCAGCACCCTGATCTTGGTTTCTAATAATATTCTCCAATCAACGGAATCAGGGCTCCTTGGAGAAATGGCTGGTTGTAGGACCAGGGTAGAAAATATACGAGATGAGCCTGGAGCACCTTTAGTGCTAGAAAGTAAGTAAGGAAGTTCTCAAAAAACAACAAGAACAAAACAAAAAACCAAAAATTTGAAAAAAGAAACAAAACACACCACCACCATGGGAGTATATCAAAGAGACGCAGGAACCAACTAAGAGAGCTTCCAATAGCCAAAACCAAAACAATTTGAGCATCAAAATAAAAAAAAGCACTAGATTATACCCCAAAGTATAAAATAAATATCTGTAAGTCCATATTGATATAAATAAATGATTGAATAAATGGGGGACAAAAGACAAATTTCCCTTGCAGGGAGAATTCCAAACAATTTATGTAGATATTCTGACCTCAAGGAAATGGAGCATAACCCCTACTTTAAGTGTGGGCTGTATATGATGACTTCCTTCCAATACAGAAAAGGGGTTGAGGGAAAAGAATGATTTTACAGTGGAGAAAACCTGACAAACACTACTTCTGCCAGGTGATCAAGGTCAACAAAAACAATCATAAATCATGTTCATAGTATATATTGCTGATATGTGATGAGAATGAAACTTAACCACTGTGATCTTCCTCCCTACAACATATAACACCAGCCTAGTCATGAGAAAAACAGACAAATCCCAAAAGAGAAACATCCTACAAGTATACCTGACCAATACTCCTCAAAACTGTCAAGGTCGTCAAAAACATGAAAGTGTGCTCTTCCCGAAAGCGGCCTGAGGTGACCTCTCAAAATGGTTCGCTATTCTCTTGATCCGGAGAACCCCACAAAATCATGTAAATCGAGAGGTTCGAATCTATGGGTTCATTTTAAGAACACTCATGAACTGCCCAGGCCATCAAGGGTATGCATATCCGAAAAGCCACCAAGTATCTAAAGGATGTCACATTACAAAAACAATGTGTGCCCTTCCGTCGTTACAATGGTGGTGTTGGGAGGTGTGCCCAGGCCAAACAGTGGGGTTGGACGCAGGGTCGGTGGCCCAAAAAGAGTGCAGAATTTTTACTGCACATGCTTAAAAATGCAGAGAGTAATGCTGAACTTAAGGGTTTAGATGTAGACTCTCTAGTCATAGAGCACATCCAAGTAAATAAAGCTCCCAAGATGCGGCGTAGAACTTACAGAGCTCACGGACGGATCAACCCCTACATGAGCTCTCCCTGCCACATTGAGATGATCCTAACTGAAAAGGAACAAATTGTTCCTAAACCAGAAGAGGAGGTTGCACAGAAGAAAAAGATCTCCCAGAAGAAACTGAAAAAACAAAAACTTATGGCCCGGGAGTAAATTCAACATCTAATAAATGTTAATAAAAGTAAAAAACAAAAACAAACAAACAAAAAACATGAAAGTGTGAGAAACCGTCAGACAAGGGAGCCTAAAGAGACATGATGACTTTAGTTAATAATAATGTATCAATATTGGTTCATATATTGTAACAAATGTATCATAGTAATCTGATATATTAATAATAGAGAAACTGTGTACAGGGGGGAGGAGGCTATATGGGAACTCTGTACTATCTTCTCAATTTTTCTGCAAACCTAAAATTGTTTTAAACAATTAAGTCTATAAAAAAAAACACTTCAGGCAGTCACATTTTTTTAAAAAAGAAAAAGAACAGAAATGAGTGATCAAAACCCAAAAAGTCATAGATGAATCTTAAATGTATAATGCTATGTGAAAAAAGCCATTCTGAAAAAAAACACATACTATACGATTCTAATTATATAACATTCTAGAAAAGGCAAAACTATAGAGTCTATAAACAGAAACAAGAAAACTGTCACAGCCAAGAGGAGCCTAAAAAGACATGACGACTAAATGTAATATGGTCCTGGATGGGATCCTGGAACAGGTAAGATCATTAGGGAAAAACTGAGCTAATTTGAATAAAGTATGGTCTTTAGTTAATATATCAATATTGGCTCCTTAACTGTGACAAATGTACTATGCTAATAAGATGTTAATCATAGTGGGTATATGGGAATTCTCTAATCACGATAATTCTGTAAATCTAAAATTAAAAGTTTACTTAAAAAACAAAATTAAAAAGAAAAAACAAAGACAAAAAAAATGAAAATATAAACCTATATTGCAGGGTGTGTTGGTGTTAGGGTGTGTGTTTCCTAAAACGAGGCAGGAGCACTTTCTGTTTGTAGGAAGTGAAACCTGAATAGAAGATATCAAAACCCCCAGTATACAACTGTTTATGAAAGAGAATGAGAATCTGCCAGTGTGTGCTGAGAAAGTGTGCTGCCACCTTCTGAGCACCTACTAGGCACCAGGCCCAGTACCAGGCACTTTCTGTATTAGCCAAGCTGCCAGCCCTAGGTCCCACAGTCTGTAAGTGGTGGTGCCAGGCCTGCACTCCAAATCTCTGTGACCACAGCTCTGTAAGTGCTGAGTTTCAGAGGAGGATCCACGTAGGTGCCAAGACACCCAGACTGAGCCCTGGCTCATGGTTCCCAAATGATTCCATATCCCAAAATGCCAACCCTCAACAGGCACAAAAGATGAGCGAGCTAGCTCAGACAGGCAAACTGAGAGCACAAAAAGAGCCCTGAGAGATCACGTTGGTTGACTTCCTAATTTTACAGAGGTGAGACCTCAGGGGCAACTCAGAGAAGGTACAGGACGTTTCTGTGGGCTACAGGCTGAACTGAGACCCCAACAGAGGTTTCTGGCCTCTAAATCCAACAGTGATCCTGGGCATGGGGACTCACTTACCCCCGGTTTGAATGATGGCAGGCCTAGCCCCACACCAATGGTGGCCTTGTTGGGATTCACCACTGAATTGTAGTGGATATTCCGATGGTAGCTGACGCGGATGGGTTCATCCTCATTTTGATGGATCCCATGGAATGTGTTGATGGGTTCTGCAAAGAAAGAGAAGGAACATCCACAGTGGGCCGGGGAGGGCAGGCTCAGACCAGCTGCGATTGGTCGCTCACCTACCCACCACAGAAGTACCTGTGCTGTACTGGTACACCTCCACAGGCCTGTTGTACATCTCTGCCATGGCCTGCATCTCAATGTGGTTGCCATGGCAGTTGTTTTTCCGTTTCCGGTTAATGTAGGTGGTGAAGTCCTCTGTGACATAGTTTGAGAAGTAGTCGGCATTCTTCATCTGCAGAATAGATCAGAAGGTCATGGTCTGTGCAGGGAGGAGGTTCTCCCACTCTGCCCCTACTCCAAGGTCTCTGCAGTCTCACCAGATAGTCCATGCAGTGCTTTCGTACAACTTCGTGCATGTCCTGGTCTCCATACACCTGGTCAGCTGTAGGGGCAGAAGAAAGGAGAGGCCGGGATCAGAGCTGCCACCAGAGAAAGGTTCTGAGTCATGGAACATCCTTGGGTTGAAGGGCTGGGGACCAGGGAAACTTCCTTTCCTACCCCAGGGTCTGGAGAGTTCTTGGCCTCGTGGGCTGGAATAGGGTCATGGAAAAAGAGGCAGGCAGGGACAGTCTTTAACAACAAGAGAGTACTGGTGAGAGGGACACACCCCCTCTTCACTCTTAACATGAAACTGAGGCTCAGGGACAGTTTGTGGCTTGACCACGTTCACACAGAAGGTCAGCCTGTGACAAAGTGAACTCTAGAATTTAGTTTCCCTGACTTCCCGGAGTCAGTATGGCCTCTGTAGGTCAAAAAAAAAAAAAAAGGACAAAAAAGAAGAAAAAGGAAAACAGCTGGGCTTTAAGCCCAGTTCTACCAGATACTAGTGAGCTAAATAACCAGAGGCAAGTGACCCAAGTATTCTCAGCCTCACCTGCCTGACGTGTAAAACGGGAACAAGCTGGATAACTCCGTGGCAGGCCTACTTTTGAGATTGAGATAATGTGTGTAATGTGACCAGCACTGGGCTTGGGATAGAGCAGACACTCAGTAAATCAATGTCCCCTTCCCTGTAGTGGGGCCTGAATGTAGGATACTGTGAAGGTGAAAGAGGTTGAGTAAAATCCCCCCTCTGCCCACAAGAAGCACATAGTCTAGTGAGAGAGATAAGACACATATGCACCTAACCAAGCTTAACTCAGGAAGGGCAGCCTGTGGACCAAATGGTCCAGGCATCATAGAGTTTTGGTCAAATTAAGAACCAGATTCTCTGCCTTGCTTGAGGACCTTCACAAGTGCCTTCCCTCTTTTCTTTTCAGGATGTTCCTTCCACCTTCCTCGGCTGCCTACCTGTCAAACACCAATTTGTTCTTTAACAGTTCCCCCTCGCTCCCAGGCACCTCTATCACCATATTTGGCAAAAGAGTGTACAGACTTTATCTACCTGATCACACTGGACTCACACTGAGGACAGAGGCCAGTTCACATCCACGTCCACCCCCAGCTCAGGGCCCAATATAGAGCAGGAAATCAGTTTGCTGAGTGGACTGACAGGCTGGGGAAGCCAGGGAGTCTTCTCCCTGGGAAATTAAGGTGGGCTTGAAGATGAGGCATGCCTGACACCCACTGGCTAAGACGAAGAGGGAATTTCCCTTTGTATCCCTGGAAGACCGTTGCTCTGATGGGATCTCCCTGGAGCGCTGGGGCAGGGGCAGGTCTTGCAGGGAACACCGCAGACAAAGTTCTTCCATGATAGCCAATCTACCTCTATGAAGAATTGCCAGAAGAACACCTTCGTTGCCCTTCCCTTTCCTCCCTAGAGGGTTCCATGAGATAAGGAGAAAAAGGGTGCCCTGAGATACAAAATGGGGCCCATGCCTATTCTCAAGTCCTCTTGGAGATGCAGGGACCTGAGGGTGAAGGGGAGTGGGGGTTGTGAAGGCGGGAAGGGGTAGCCCCATCACCGATGTAAACAAGGATGTGGGTTCTGTGGCCACACTCTCCCCCACCCCCCACAGCGGCACTTCCAGCAAGTCACATGCCCTGTGCACAGGCTGGGGGCCCCCTGCTGCTACCTTTCTTAGAAGCCAGGACCACAGAGCCCATTGTGGCTGCCTGCCTGCCAGAGCTGCTTCATGAGCTATTTCTGTAGAACGGGCTTGGGTGCCAAGGAGGCAATGTTGTGGGCAGCTGCAAAAAACAGGAACTGAGATGGGAGTGAAGGGGTTAAACAGAGGATGGCCTGCCAGGCTCAGGGAGGTGGCTGAGCTGTTCCTAGGGAAGGATCAACCAGTATTTCTATGCCTAAGTAACAGATCTACCTGGGCTACATGCTGGATGCAAGAAAATGGAAGGGGAAAAAATGAAAAAGACAAACAGAAAGCAAATGGAGGAAAGGGGGGGACTGGGAAACAGGGGAGGGAGCTGGGGGAGAACTCAAGGGCCCCCCATTTCCCTTTGCCTGGCAGAAAGTCTCTGCTGCCTCCTAGCTGCGTGGCACTGGACAAGGCCTTTAACTCGCTGGGCTGCAATGTCCTCATCCATCTAGTGAGGAGAATAACTCCTCTTCCTCTCATAGGGCTCTGTCAAGAAAGCAGTTTGCCAAACATCTGAGGCATACTAGGTGTTCAAGAAACAGGGCTCCATTTGTCATGAGGAAGATGACTCCTCCTCCTTCAGGTAGCTAGCCACCCACAAGTCAGCCAGAATGTCATTGCAACCACTGATTAAGCCGTTCCTTATTTCTGTTGTACTTCCTCAGCTAGAGGAAAGCCCCAAACCTGGAGTCTAGACTGTCCCTCGTGCAGGCAGGACCAGCTCTCCAGCTTTACTGACGCCAAAGGGCCACAGATCCAACTTCTGTGCCCGTACTGCAAATATTTAGCAACCATATTAATGTTAAATCAATAACATGGTTTCACAAAACAGGGTCCTTCAGGGTGGGTAAGGTATGACCTTATCTACTTATCTGTGAAATATAAGATATCACCTTTCCTCCTCAATTCTAAGATGCACTAATAGATGGTATGGTGCATGTATTTAATCACAGCTGGGGGCGGGCACCTCACTGATTTTAACATACATGCTACTTTGGGGATCATGCATGTAGAAGAACATGTGCTCCTCAGAAGCGAGGACACAGAGCAATAGCACCTCCCCAATAAGGGAGTGTAGAAGGATCTTTTCAACAATATTAGGCAGGCTAAGAACACAGGAAGTCCTCATTGAGGAGGCGCTTGCCTGACTTTGCTAGCCCCGCCTGTCCTCTAGAAAGACCTCCTCCTCCCAGAAATCACAGGGGGCCACAGGCCTGGCTGGTCTTCCCTGTGGAGGCCAAGGTGGGGGAAGGGCCCAATGGACCTGTACAGGTAGGGGCATTCAGAGAACTTGTTTTGCTAGAAACTGAAACTCCGCCTCTTGCTGACGCTGCACTTGTGGGCAATCTGCACCTGCTCTCCCCTCCTAGAGTCCAGCTGGAAGAGGGTCCCCCCTTCCAACACTACAATTGGTTCCCCCAAGGCCTTTTTACATTCCAACTCATTCCATCCTCACCAAAAAAAACTCTACACAGGAGGGATACTGAGGTACAGAAATATGGCACTGCTGGCCCAAGGTCACACATTTGGGAGGATGAAAAGGGGGCCAAGCTCTTAAGGAATAACTGGTGACTTCAAGCACTGATGCCCCAGGTGACATTACCACCCCCCTCCCATTCAGTTATCACCTAAGCCACCCGACTCCCTGAGGCCAGGCCTGATCCTGTCTACCTCAGTTTCCCCACCAGCACAAGCAGGAACCAGCTGGAAAGGCTTGGCAGTGGGCAGAGAGTACATATATCAGGGGCTGTACCCTCTACCGGGACCACAGAGGTCATCATGAACATTACCTCCCCAGACCCTATTTCTGTCCTTTCTCTGAGCACACAGAGACGCCAGCACAGAAATGCACATGTGCACACACACACAGCCAGCAGATCCTGCCAAAGACGTTCCCTAAGGCCAAATTCCCACACGACAACCCTCACAACTACACACAACTATCACATTCAACAAATAGATGCCCTTGCCACTAACCAGGAAAGGCTGAAGGCTGGACAAGATGCGAGGCTGTGAAAACTGAGGACCATCCCTTCCTCCTCCCTAGCCTTTGCCAGGGGTTGGTGGGAGGTGGGGAGGACCAATAGCACTAAACAGACTTGCTTAACCTCCCACCACTGCTGCCTGGGGGGAAGGTCCCCTAAACCTCTATAATTCTTCCTCCTCAAGTTCACTTTGTGAAAGAGCTATGTGGAGAAGCAAGACAGGAGAGCCTGGACTACCTAAAGGAGTTGAAGTACAGAGCCCTACCATTTGTTTTAGCAGTACCTGAGAAACTGCCTCCCCACCAGGCTGCTGCTGCCTGCCTGCCTGTCTGCCTGCTAGAAGAGCGATAGCAAGTTCCACTGAGGACAGAAAAGGAAGCTTGGTGTTTGCAGGTAATCTAAAAACTGCAGGGAAGTTGGTACACATGGTAGCCCATGGAGATCGACTCCTTCTGGTCTCATTCACTGATGTTCTAACACTGGCCCATGTGACCTAGATAACGGGGTCCTGGCTTTCTCTTGAGGTCTCAGTTTCCCCATTTATAAAACAGTCAATGGCCGGCCGAGTGGCTCAGTTGGTTAAGAGCTTGCTCAAGAGTGGGAGCTCTGAGCAACAGGGTCGCCGGTTCGATTCCCACAGGGGCCAGTGAGCTGCGCCCAAGCTGAGCTGCCGCTGAGCTGCCAACATGTGGCAGGATGGCTCAGCTGGTGAGAGCACGTGCCCCTAACAACAAGGTTGCCTGTTCGAGACGGTGGGCTATGCTCACCCGCAACTAAAGACTGAACTCGGCACCTTGAGCTGAGCTGCCGCCCGGGGGGCTCAGGGGATAGAGCGCGTGCTCTTAACAACAAGACTGCCGGTTCGACTCCCGCATGGGATGGTGGTTATGCCCACCCACAACTAATTGAACACAGCTCCTTGAGCTGAGCAGCGTGACTGGACTTGGAGCTGAGCTTGCTGTGCCCTCCACAACTAAGATTAAAGGACAACAACTTGGCGGTATCCCTTCCCCAATTCCTCAACACTGTTTCCCTCCCCCAATTCCCTAATAAAATCTTAAAAAAAAACACAAAACACTCAAACTGATCTAAGATCCATCCCTCCAATGCTGATGGTCCATGTTCCAAGAACAAAAGGCCCAAAGGACTGGGCAAGGCTAATGTTTCTGGGTCCCATCACTGTAACATGCACATCCCCAGCTGCTTCCCCATGGCCCATGCAGACACATGCACATGTGGCCTCCACTTTGCTGACAGAGGGCAGGGCCAGAGGTTTTTGCTGAGTCAAAGCCATATGGGGAGAGGGAGGGAGGAGAGATGCAGACTCACATTTCCAGGAGGTTGTTATCTGAGCACAGCAAAGGTAGGGTGGACCACAGGATACCTCTGGGACTCAGGCTCCCACTTCCACTCCACCCAAGCCTTTGCTGATGCTCACGAGTCCCCAGTAGGGGTTGGTGGGAGAGAACTGGGCACAAGCTGTGGATAGTGGCTCAGAGGCAAAACAGAGGGTAGAAAGCCACCTGCCTCAGGATTCCCAACAGTAGAGGGTCACAGGCTCCTAGTTGGAGAAGTAAGGCCCAGAGATGTCAAGGAACATCCTGAGGTCACCCTGCCAGTTGGCAGCTAAGCTAAGAAGCTAGGGCTTTCCTAGGGCCATAGAAAGAATGTGTCCTTTGAATACCTCTGTGTCCTCACGCCAGCTCTGCTACTAATGACCCTGAGCATGTCATTTCCCTTTCCTGAGCCTCAATCTTCTCACCTGTCTCACAGGATAATGATTCGTTTTGCAGGTAAACCTGAAGCACCCAGGTGAATGCCTAGCAAAAAGTTTGGGTCAAAGAACAATAGAGTAGCCCCTATATCTGCAATACCCACTCCAACTCCCACCATTTGTTATGTGCTCTTTCCACTGTTCAATGTGTGGGAGGAAGTTAGAACCTGTAGCCTTCTCACCAGAGCCTAGGGCGACTACCACATCTCCCTGTCCAAGCTAGGCTGGAAGCAGAGGGGCAGCAGAAAGCATGAGGAAAGTCCCCTTCCCAGGCACGTGTCTGCCCCAGGGAAAACTCCAGATGAGCCTGAGAGACCCAGGGGCCATGTACTTCTAGGGAGAGACCATGGGGCTTCTGAAATTTTATGGAGAAAATCCAAGGGCAGTTCAGTCAGGGGAAATGTATAGCCATAGTGCTGATAAGGAAAGGTCTTCGACCCCCAGCAGTCAGCTCTTCCTGTAAGCTCAGGCCCCTTACCGGAAGGCCCCAATGGGGGAAAGGGTCAGAAGACATTTGGGGAAAATAGCTAGATGGACACATGTATAAATACTTCTCTTGATATGGGTTACTGCAGAAGCTAGCTCCTCACTAGCCCCAAGGTCTGACTCAAAGACCACTCAAGACCCAGATGCCCAGCTGCATTCTCCAACCTTCACTCCATCAGCAGCCCTGCTTACCAGCCTGAGGTCTGAGCACAGCGCCTAGCACCAAAGAGGCCCCCACCTAATCTTTCTTTATCCTCCTTTGGTCCAAGATGGCCCCAAACCCAGCTTTTTCTCCAGGAAACATCACAGGGAGAACATGGACTTCAGCCACAATGGTAAGAGGGTTAGGATTTTCCCAGTCCAGCAGAGTCCACTGCCTCAACCGCCTCTGCTTGGTACAAAGGGGAAGGCAACCACTCACCCCATTTAACCTTTCTATCATCCATTCAATAAACATTTGTGACTCTGAGGCACAACTGAGAACAGCATTCAGACTTTACCAATGCTATTGTTCCATGATGACCTACTATGTGTCAGGCACTAAAGAGATTTACTGAAGTCATCTCATTTAACTGTAGCAACACTGAGTCTTTTAGCCTGTTAAAGGCAGGAAAACAGGCTCAGGATAAAAAAGCTGCATGCCCAAGGTTGCACCAAGTATCAGTGGCACAGCCCGAAGTGGATCCTGGGTCAGTCCAGCCCACCAGCAGACATGGCGCGCATGTACCCACAGACAGAGGATAATGGACCCAGAAGGGATTCAAGGAGCCCTTTAGAAAACACCACCACTTCAATGATGGGACAATAGAAGTTATAAGCGAGGGCCAGAACAAGAAGACAGGGCTTCTGACTCCCAACTCAAAGCTCCTATCAGAAGGCATTTTTTCCATGATAGATACCAGAGCCCCAAAGGAAGGATCAGAGCACACTCCTAGGCTCCCCTGGACACTACTAGCACAGGGTCTCACAGCTGCTGGTTGTGTCACAGATTCAGAGCCAGAGAGGCCTCAAAGATCTAGCTCAGACTGGACAGTAGGTGGTATTAACCCTCTGTCGGGCGCAACTGATCTCACAGATTCATTGCACACAATGATGCCACTATGAGATACGTCTTTACTGTACTAAGTCACAAACACGACTGGCGATAGGTTATGGTAAAGGGAGAAGATATGGAAGCGATGAGTCACGATACTTAACTGTTAGATACTTGAAAATTTGTGTGCAATGAATCTGTGAGATCAGTTGTGCCCAATGCAGGGTTAAGGAATTATTAATTTTATTAGGGACAATAATGACATTTTGGTTATGTTGGTTGAGGGAGAGGAAGGGGGAGAGGGAGGGAAGGAAGAGGGGGAGGG